CTTTGAATTAGATCTGGAGCGGATTGTCCAGTACAACACCCAGGGTCCGCTGATCACAGTTTCAGAATTTCTGCCCTGTAATTGGTCGACTGCAAAATTTCTATCACTTGTTATCTACATCATCATCTATATCGAAAATAAAATTTTTGATGATATGTTAGTCCCATGCTGACCCAAATATACACTGAACACTACCCTAACCAACCTGTCTACATTTACCTTAGAGACTCAGACTATTGCTTCTGTGTTAAAAGTAAGCACTTTAAGACGTTACTTACATGAATGCACCCTAACACAGAACATGCTCCTCTCAGAACAGTCTGAAAATAATCCTTAAACCTGGAGAATTCGACTAGTGGATAAAAGAAAAAGATGTAAAGAAAGTTCTCAAGGTTATTGCGCTAATGTTACGCTAATGTTAATAACGCTAATGTATTTACGCTAATGTTAATAATATTTGACCTTTCGCATAGCATTTTACTAACTCAGAGGTGTCTATTACGAAATACTTTGCTCAGTCTCATATAACGTTTAATCCGTAAAGCGCATATTATCTTCACGTTGTTCTGAACCGTTATCTTGTAAATAAGTATTTCTGTGAATTATTATTTTGATATTTGTATATAGTCTGTAAAACGTTCCTATCATATCTGGCACAGTATGGGATTCTATGAAATTAATGTAAATAAGCCTATAATTTATGCTGTGCAAATATTAAGTTTATGATATACTATTCACTTCTAGCAACACATGATTCCAATGCATTTCTCTCGAGGGTCTTGTATTCCCATGCAATGTATTCTCAAGCCTTGGTTGTAGTGCCCACATAGTATTTCGTTTTCCTTTCAGAGGACACGCAATAACACCTTGAGCATAATAGCAGGCCTGCTGTCGTCATGGGGGTGTGGAGTAGAAAGAGAGAGAGCTTAAAAAATCCATTCTGCAGTATTTTTTTATAACATTAATATTTTGATCACAATAAGCGATATATTTATAATGTTTTCATTTATAAATGTGCGAGAGTTCGACAATTAGAGGATAATATCCAAACGATAACATTAACCACGATCATATTAAGCGGTGCCTATAGTACATATATGCGTAATATAAAAAATATGCAAATCAAAATGATAATTTAATTTGCAATAGCCCTTAGCAATTCATTTTAATTGGGCTACTTCTCTTTTCCATCCTAAAAATAGTACCTGCTTATAATTAATCACTCTAAACTGCGTCACTTCAAAATTAATCTACGTAATATGGCTTCTGCATAATGCTAATGACGCAGGCACTTATGTAACGTTTCAGCCAATATTAATCCGAAATTTGGGAACCGGACTAAAAGTTAATCTATAGACAGTAAGTTTCACTGAAATTAACTTCTGATTCAAACTGGATATAACTCAGTCTCTTTCTGGCTTCTTCTGTCTACTTGCTTACCGCCTGCTGCACTATCTTTTTTTTTTTTTTTTTTTTTTTTTTTTTTTTTTTTTTTTCTTATCACGTAATTCTGACACCCAATAAATGTGTCTTACTGAAAAAAGTTGAATTATATATTTATACCTGAAAACGCTACATTTTATCACAGAAAAGTCCCACCAGCGGCCAAACGGTAAAGTCGCTAAACACTGGTAGTTCGATCCGAGGTTCAAAGCACGAAGAACGAACTGCTGCATGGGCCTTTCCGTGGTGGTTTCCATGCGTATTGCGTAACGTGAATAGGAGACAGTTTCCCTTAGAAAGTCCTTCACGAAGGCATCCCTCTCCTCAGACAGACTTAATCAAATAAAAAGTATGTCACAGTTTATTTTCATACAAAATGTTCCTAAAGAAACTTCAAGAAAATTCTTTTGTTTAACTTTAAAAATGAAAATTTAAAATTGATTTTAGAAAGCATATTTGTGAAAATGCATGATGAAGCGATTATTTTATTTAAAGAGCTATAAATTTATCCTAGAAAACTCAAGAGCTTTGAAGTTAGGTAAGATTTCATTTAAGATGACGGCTAATTCAAAAAAAAAAAAAAATGCGTTTCGCAAGACCGTTAGATCAAAGAGGCATTAGCTTAACAAAAAAGCTTTTAGAATTTCATCAGTTTTCTTCGGAAGAATAAAATTCTACACTAAAAGTGTGTTTTGTAACACCATAGAATATTTAATTGGCTTCAAATAATGTTTCAGCTAAAGTAAGGTTATTGATTTCAGTCTTGCGCAATATCAATTTTGTAATACGAGGCGTATTCGGAAACTAAGAACCGTTTTGAGGGGGGAAAAAAAAATAGTAAAACAATTTTTTCGAATCCAATTTTATTTTTACATGAAAATACATGTCTTAAACTATTTTTCAACATAGTTTCCGCCAATGATCAAACACATATTATTCACAATTATTGTCATAGCGGGTGACCAGTTTTTGTATACCATCGTCAAAGAAACTTCCCGCCAGTTTCAATAACCACGACACCACAGCTGTCATCGTCATATCCAAAGCGCTTGCCACCAAGCTCGCGCTTCATGTGCAGGAACAAGTGATAGTCGGACGGCGCCAAGTCCGGGCTGTACGGCGGGTGATCGAACTGCTCCCAATGAAACTGTCGAATTAACGATTGAGTGACACCAGCAGTATGGGGACGAGCATTGTCATGGAGCAACACAATTCCTTTACTGAGCATTCCGCTTCGTTTGTTTTGAATGACACGCCTTAGTTTTGTTAAAGTCTCACAATATCGTGCCGCATTAATGGTTTCACCTCTGGGAAGAAATTCAGTAAGCAAAACGCCTTTCCTATCCCAGAAGACAGGGCACATGATTTTTTGTGGTGACATTGTCACTTTGAAATTTTTCGGAGAATGAGTGTGTCTCCACTCCATCGATTGTTGTTTCGATTCTGGTGTGAAATGACACACCCAAGTTTCATCACCTGTCACAATTTGGTTTAAAAAGTTTTCTCCCTCATCACTGTACCGCGTGAGAAATGTCAGGGCACTACCAAATCGCTTTGTTTTGTGAACATCAGTGAGCATTTTTGGAACCCATAGGGAACACAGTTTGCGATAATTCAAGCGGTCAGACACAATTTCGAACAAAACAGTACGTGAAATTTGTGGAAATGCCTCTGAAAGAGTTGTCATTGTGAAGCGTCTGTTCTCATGAATTGCTTCATCAACCTTACCAAATCATCGGTGACAACAGAAGGCCGACCACTCCGAGCCTCGGCGTGGACATTTGTTCGACCTGCATTAAACATTCTACCCACTTTCTCACCATTCCATCACTTATCGCGTATTCACCGTAAACTTCTGTCACTTGACGATAAATTTCGGCCCCCGGTTTTGTTTTTTAACATTCCTCGCGTTCAAAAATTTAATCACGGCACGAATCTCACAGTCAGCGGGAGAACTAATTGTCTTAAACATTTTGAATGTGCACAGCAAACTGAAAACACACATAGAGCAACCAAAATGGCGACAATTGAAAGTCAGTGAAGAAGAAAGGCTAGTGCGCATGCGCGGAACGCCTACCACAGCGCTGCGATGGCGCTAGAATGAAACGGTACTTAGTTTCCGAATACGCTACGTTATTAAATGGGAAATGGGAATATATACATACTAATAAGCCTTCGATTCTTTACGAACGCGTGAAACTCGCTACGGAATGAAATGCTTGGAAATGAGAATGAGACAATTAAAAAAACTGAGAATATATTCAACTTTAAAGTTGTATATACATTTTGAGAATTGGCGATAAGATCAGACGATATTAAATAACAAATAAATACCAAATACAGATTAAACGAAGGTGGATTAATTAATTTACTGTTTTATTTTGCAAAATAACTCAAACTTTGCTCAACAATGAGCAGTAATGTTAACGAAATAAATCAGTTCATGAAATAAATCAAAAACTTCACAGTACACAATGTTTCCGGAAAAAATATTGTTAAACATTGCTAAACAACAATAAGCCGCCCGACTCGGAAAGTTGTTAGTGACTCTGACTGCCGTACCGAAAAGCTGTTTCCAATACCGGAGAAGGCATGGATGTTATAGTGTCTTTGCGGCATGGAGGCACTCTAAACATGCGGTTAGCCGAAAACCCTCTCGAGAAGTTGAGGGAAGGGGAAAACGTGTTGGACACTTTCTTACCCTCTCCCCTCTCAAGGTGCTCTCCACGAAAATTGGGAGCGGAACTGAGCAAATTTATACTGTCACCTTTATAGTGCTCAATGCTCTTGCCAACGACAGGAGTATCTTGCATTCCTTGCCACGATGATTTTCGTGGGCTTATCTGATGCTACTGTCAGACAAGTTGGATAAGTCACAACCAGCGCCGGCGCAAGGTTATCCGGCGCCCGCCTGCAAAATAGCTGAAGTCGCCCCCCCCCCTTTTTTTCTAAATTTTTGTATAGGAGAAGGAAGTTTTGAAGAAAACATTTATTGAAATTGATTTTAACAGTTTATTGAGAATAATTTATTTTTCTGCATTTCATATTTACAAATTTTTCTATAATTTCTTTTGCATCTAGTTCTTGACAGATTTCATTTTCAATGGCAATCAAAGCTAAATTTATGAGTCTTTCTTGCGATATACTTGAACGTAAATATATCTTGATCAGTTTTAATTTGGAGAATGATCTTTCGCTACTAGCAACACTAACAGGAATGCTAAGTAGTATTCTCAGTACGATCTTCAAGGTCGGGAAGCACAAATTATTTGACGCAATTAAGTTCAAAATATCGAATGGATCCTTCATACAGGCTGTAAAAATGTCTTTCGAAGCTACTATTTCGTCATAGAGTTCCTCTGCGTTAATATCTTTATTGTCACCACACTGTAACAATTTTTCTAATTTATCACATTTTATTTTCAAATTTGCGTTATCGATTTCTGATAAATTACCCAGGAAGCTAAAATTATCCCAGTGATTTTTCATTGCATCAAATCTTTCGTTTAATGATGTCCAAGCAAGCAGTATCCAAAATTCTAAAAAAGACATTTGCCCTAAAACTTCTCTTCTGGAGATCGAGGGGATTCGTCAGCATGTTCGTAATCGAAGTGACATTTCTTTTTCCTTCTTCGGACTTCTTCAACAGTTTTAAATTGTGGCTCGCCATCCACTTCTTCACTAAGTTCTTTGGCTTTCTCAAGAATACTTTTGTAATTGATATCACTTTTATATTCTTCAATGAATGTTTTTAAGTTACTTATTGCCTTTAAGGCTAGTGTAACACTCAAACCCTTTTCTTGCAATTGTTTGCTGACAGGATTAATTCTGTTAAGCAAATCGTGCCAAACTATCAAGGAACAAATAAATTTATAATCTTTGATTTTGGTACACAGACTTTGTGCTTCATATTGCACTTCGTTTGAAAAGCATTCATCTTCGGATATTTCAAAGAGAGCATCATAGATTTCTCCCAGTTGATATCTTACAGGTCGAATAGCTTCAATTTTGCTTTCCCATCGAGTGTTTGAGAGGGGTTTTAAAGTTAAACAGGAAATGTTTTTTAAAAGAACTGCACATCGCTTAAGAGAAGAAGAAAATAAATTGTATAATTTTTGAATCATTAAATTTAAGCTATGAGATGGATAGTGTACTGAAGCAACACCTTTTTTGCTGTGGCGATGTGAAGGTGCTCAGCACACTTTTTTCCTGTCCTGTTAATTGCCTGAATTAAAATTCACGGCGGCAGATTTATGCAAAATTATGGATAGATTTTAAGCGGGCGTAAGCGAGCATTAGACGATAGTCAAGCATCAACAAGTACACAGACAAACGTTGTTTCGAAAATAAAATCAAGAAAATATTCTCAAGAATACTTAAATTTTGGATTTACCAGTACTAAAGTAAATGAAGAAGAAAGGCCCATTATGTATCATTTGCTCAAAAAACATTGGCAGCAGACAGCATGAAACCTAATAAACTTCAAACGACATTTGGAAACACTTCATAGTGAGTACGTCAACAAACCTAGAGAAATTTTCAAATTAAAATTAAAATCATATGAAAAGCAAAAAAAATCATTTTTTAAAAAAAACTTTGTCTGTGAATGAAAAAGCATTAATTGCCTTCTTACAAAGTTTCATATAAAATAGCCAGATGTAAAAAGCCTCACACCATTGGTGAAAAGCGTATTTTGCCAGCAGCAATTGAGATTGTAGAAACTATGTTTGGAGATAATTTTGCAAAGCAATTGCAGTCCATACCTCTCTCAAATGATACTGTTGCCCGTCGAATTACTGATATAGCTGAAGATGTACAGTGTCAGCTTTTCTCGAAGTTGCGTGACAAATTATTTTCAATACATTTTGATGAGGCAGCAGATAGTAATAAAGACGCCTATGTTTCATTGCCTATGTTCGATTTTGTGATGATATGTCAATAGTAGAAGAACTACTTTTCTGCAAACCAATAGAACTCAAAGCAACAGCACACGCATTATTTGCTATCTTAAATGATTTTATGAACGAAGCAAATATAGAATGGAAAAATAGCGTCGGAATATGCACCGATGGTGCTCGTTCAATGTCAGGAAGATTCCAAAGTATACAAGCACTTGTAAAGCAAAAATCGCCAGAGCAACTGGACACATTGCATGATCCACAGGGAAGCTCTAGCTTCCAAAAAAAAATGAGTCCTGGTCTGAATATTATGTTAACTACCGTTGTAACCGTAATAAATTATATAAAAATGAGACCTCTGAAATCAAGAATCTTTTCCGCACTTTGTAAAGACATGGGCGCAGCACATTCAGCGTTACTATTTTATTGTGAGGCAAGATGGTTATCACGTGGGAAATTTTTGCAACGTGTTTATGAATTAAGAGATGAAATCGCTATTTTCCTACAAGAGGAAAACAGACCGGAAGCCGAGAATTTTCGCGATGGTTTATTTGTGATGAAATTCAGCTACTTGGTCGACATATTCGAGAAATTAAATAACTTGAATCTTTAACTCCAAGGAGCAAATACACATATATTGGATACGAATGATAAAGTTAATGCTTTTTGTAGAAAATTGGAATTGTGGAGCAGAAATGTAAAGCAAAAAAAACCTAACAATGTATAAAAATGTGGATGATTGTATTAAAACTTACAAGGCCGAAGAACAACATGTAAAAGTGGTTTTTGTAACCATTGAAAATCATTTAGCCATGCTGACAAAGAATTTAAAAATTACTTTCTTGCTGACGACAAACTGATAGAAAGTTACGAGTGGGTTAGAGATCCATTTCAAAATACTCCCGAAGGGCTCTCAATTGCCGAGGAAGAAACCTTCATAGACTTCACGACAAGTGGAGAAAACAAAAAGACAATTTAGTAATAAATCACTCTTTGAATTTTGGGCAGGAGTGAATGATGAGTTCTCTGCACTAAAAACAAGGGCATTTCGCATTTTATTACCATTTTCAACATCCTACCTTTGTGAAAACTGGATTTTCTGCGGTGGCTTCATTGAAGACAAAATATAGATCTCAGCTAAATATAGAAAAAGAACTGAGAGTGTCTATTTCTAATATTAAACCTTCCTTCGAAAAACTTTGCTCTGCAAGACAGGCCCAAGGAAGTCACTAAGAATTATTAAAATTGTTTTTAATTTAATAAGTTTCGATTTAGTAATTTTTTTAAATTTAAGAATTATGCAAACATTTATGATACGAAGGCATGCTAAGAAGGCGGGAGAAATACCTTATAATGTTTACAAAACAAGTACTCGATTATGTACAGTTATAAGGTATGTCTCCTATTTTCCTAGGGTGCCTTCGTGGTGTAGTGGATCTGCACGCTGGGCCGGTATTCCAGAGGACCGTGGTTCGATTCCCGGCGAAGGCGGTTGCTAATTTTCATCTCTCCGGCTTTTCCAATTAACCTAATGTCTCTACACAGTCTTGTGGCTATCGAATTATAACTCTAATACCAGACAATAATAGAATTAACAGGAATATGTTTGAAATGCTTTTCGGTGTTACATTAAAATCTTCATTTGAAAACCGAACAATGCATAATCTTCCTATATTTATATTGTTTGATACAGTCTGGAATTTACCTAAAAGAATAAAAGATTTAAATTACCTTTTATTCTTAAGGAAAATTTCAGACCGAAAACCTTAAGGTTAATTTCGACAAATGAGTGGCTGTAATTATCACGTATCTTTACAGCAGGTTATAAAGTCGAAAAGAAAACAAAAAATTAGTTAGTTTGCTTAAAATGCAGTCTTCTAAGAAAGGCTTATCAGGGCTTGTGTTTCTTTTCATGTGTTTCGCAAACATACTGAGTCCTGACTGGACTGGGAGGTTGACAACAATCTATGTCTTTACGAAGTGTAGAACAGAATACAAGATGAGAAGGGTTAAATTTTCCTTTATTAATTACTGAACACAGGTGCTCCCACGCTTTGGGATACAGAGACCAACTACTTGTGGTCTGAACGTAAAAATATAAACTATGAACTAAAATAAAAATAAGAGCTGACTCTGAACTCACAGAGATATTGACGATTAAGAATGGCCTTTAAAATGTGCGACGTATGTAGTACGCAAACTGCCGAAACTACAATACGTTTAAATTACAAGAGGACTAAACCTCTGGCTCTATAGGCAAACAGCAGTAAAAATTGAAACGCACGTGCAACAAACTGGTGGCCGGCAAACTCGCCTTCTCTTCTCTCTCGCTCTATATCGTTGGCAAAAACACACTTAAATACTTGGGCGTTAGCAAGTACAATTTGTATAACCAAATTAACACGTTTAATTCTGGCCGGAAGTGGAAAATAAGAAAGGACAGTAAAGACAGTAAAGTTTTTAAAATAAAATAAACGTTAGTGAACTTAAAAACCTTACAGGCTCACTTATTTTATAACCTTTTCCTTGTAATGATATTGAAGACTTTAATCATGATCATCTTATTAATGATGAATTTATTGATGTTTTGCATCAATCATGTGATGTTAATATTACAGAAAAAGATATAGTGTGTCTAATTTACATTTATATATGGATATGTTTGTAGATCTGTATTGAAGCATTGACATTGTAATCTCTGCAGGAAAAAACTAATTCTTGACATTCATAAATACCTCTGCATTCAAAATATTTACAATCCTAATATCTAAAATGTACGAGAAGTTATATATTTCATTAAACAATCAACTTTTTCTGTATTAATGTTTCTCATCATGGAGAAAACATTATTTGGGATGAGTAAAAATATTTGTGTGTGTAGCAAATCACTGCATGATTTGTTGAAAAGCTGTGCTACACGTATTTGCAATATATTGCTGAATAATTACTGTAAGGCTAAAAATAACAATTTAAAGGAAACCAATAACGAAAAAAGAAAAATATGTAAATTAAATAATTCTGGATTTAGATGTAATAAATTCCAGAATATTAAATTTTAAAGTTATATAGTAAGTATCTGCAAACTGTACATAGTTGAGCTATAAACCCATACTGCGGCCCGCCAGTGGCTGAGTGGTAAAATTGCTGAACACTGGTAGTTCGGTACCGATTTCAATCCCGGCGAACGAGTTGGCTGTATGGGTGTTTTCGTTGTTTTCCCCATATGTAACTTGTGTACCAATTTCCCTTAGAAAGTCCTCCAGGAAGGCATTCCTCCAATGTGCATGTTTGCAATGTTGTGGGCATTTTTTACTCTTCTCTATCATCAAATAAATGTAGAGTGTATTTTTGATCAGATGTACTTTCTTTCATAAGAAGTTTCATAGCGTGATATAATGCTCATTGGGATTGATTGCATAGTTATGATCTTGCTTTGCTTTTAGAGAATTTGTAATATATTTTTGGATATGCTATAAGATTTACTGTATAACGTTTTTGCTTATAAAGCACCTTTAGGATCAATCTTTTTTTTTTTTTTTTTTTTCAATATGTAGATTAAATTTAAGATATAGTAACTAGGATAATATATTAATACGATTTAGGTATTTCACTTAATGTCCACTTGTGTATTATTAAAAAGCATCTTAGGATCTCGGATTGAATATTGAAAAATCTTTAAGGGAATAAAGAAAAGAAATAGCCCCTTTTTTCAATATCATTGCACAAAAAATAATTATAAAGCAATATTTTATTATATTAGATTAACGTGTTGATATTAATTTTGTTACGAAATACTATATACTTTTTTAATATTTAAGCAGTAAAATCAGTCTGCTTAATTTAAGCAATACAGATAATCGGAGAGAGCCTAAGATAATTTTCTTCTTTTATTACGAAATGAAAATCTCTTTGTTGAGCTCATTATACATGTTATATTTTCATTGATATTAACATACTGTATAATTTTTATAAATATTTTTTTTCATAATTTTTATTTCCGTATAACGTTTCCAGATACGTTTCAGTTTATTAAATCTGCTTCGCTAAATTTATAATATCGCTCAAATCTTATTTTATCTTCTGTTGATAAACGGTAAAAAAGTATTAAATATTACGATATAATATAGCAAGTTATTAATCCTAAAATTCAAAATATTAAGTTGTAAAAATTAATTTCACTTGAC